ACAAATCTGGGGGAGTTTGTGTGTGTGTGTGTGTGTGTGTGTGTGTGTGTGTAGCTAGTAATGCTAACAATACAAATTTGGGGAGTGTGTGTGTGTGTGTGTGTGTGTGTGTGTGTAGCTAGTAATGGTAAGTAAAGGATTAAGTTCTAGATCGTTCTCTTTTTAATCACAAGTCAACTATCTTGGTCATCTAGTGCTGTTGTAACAGAGCAGTATAATTGTATGCTTTTAAAACACAGAAGACTGGTTTTTTTTTTACCATTTAGGAAGCCGGAAGTCCAAAGTCAGTTTGCTAGCTCCGAGGGAGGCTTCCTGTGCAACCCACAGAGAGAGAGAGAGTGAGCGAGGGGAAAAAAGCCTTGTTTCCTTGTATCTGGAGGTATAGTGTTTCTTGAGGATCTCCATGTGTTCAGACCTTCCTAAGGGTCAACAAGCGTCCTAGGGCAGGAACCTGGCTCCAAACGTGCATATATCATGCCTCTGTGGTACTGAGATCCTTTCTCTCAGCTCACCATCCTATATTTCTATTTTACAGGCCACACTTTCCCCTTGTCGGAGTAGGATAAAATGGAATTAATGGATGTTGCCTTCAATCCTTAATCCATTTACAGTTGTTTGTTTATTCAGACCAAGGGTGATCACTATACATATTTCACATTACATTATTGCATATGTATTTATTGGGGGGATGTAATTAAATTCATCACACATTGTTATTTATTTTTTTTTAAATTTCCTTTCTGAGTGGCATCCACTTCCTAAACATTTTCTAGAAACTATGAACTTGGGTAAATGTCGATAGTTGTAAAGTGGTTTCAGGCCTTTTGTTCAGAGGGTCTCTATGAGTCGTGCTCTACTCAAAAGCAAACAACAACGAGTACTGCTGGTCTCTATTATTACGGAAGGAACTTTCATTTGAGAAAAATTCCATCTTTCAGTACCATGTGTACTCTTTCAGAATTAAGATCTGTTGAAGAATTTACTCCACTATAACCATGAAAGTTTTCATATTACTTCTTATTCCTGGAGCATGTCTGCTTTCTCTGATATTTGTAGAGCCATTTATCTTTATTACTAATGTTACATCACAAAACTTACTATCATCGTGTTGAGACTGATTCAGAGCTGACCCTCAAGCAGACCTTCAGAGGCTGTAAATCCCATGGAAGGAGATTTCCCATCTTTCTCCTTTTGAAAAACTGGTTGATTTGAACTACTTACTTTGTATTAGTATTACATACCTTTGTATTGGGGAGCTCTGGTGGCCTACTGACAAGAAGCTTCACTGAAATTCTGAAGGCATGCGGTTCAAGGCCACCAGCTGCTCCACAGAAGAAGGATGGGCAATTTCTGGTGGCCTAGTGGTAAGAAATTGCAATCCCAAAGGCAGGCTATTTGAGGCTACCAGTTGCTCTGCGGGAAAAGGATGGGCAACTCGTTTGCTATTAACTGCCTCTGAAAACTCACTGGAGGGTCGGCTATGAGTCTGCTCTGACTCAAAGGTACAACAACAACAACCTCCTTTGTATTGGAATTGTTAATTCCCTACACACTAAGCTACCAGACCTACCAGAAATTCCTAGTGTCAAATGGAGTTTTGTTTGCACTGCTGTGATGATGGTTATGTGCTGTCAGATCGCCTATGATCCACTGTTGTCAAGCAACATTACAGCACATAGCAACAACAACAAAAACAATGGCACGTAGCCACCACCACAACAGTACAAAAATGAAAGTTATGACTTCAATATGAATTAAAAAAGACAAAGATTCTCAATCCTGGGCCAATTGGCAGCACCCTATAGATGGAGAAGAGATTAAGGCTGTTAACAGTTACAGATTGCTCAGCTCCACAATCAACACATTTGGTACTACCAGTCAGAAAATCAAAAGATGAATTGAATTAGGTAAATCTGCTGTCAAGGACCTTTCCAGAGTACTAATAAATGACCGTTTCAGTCTAGAGACAAAGGTGCGCCTGATCCAGTCCATGGTCTTCACAAATACTTGTTTTGCACCAGAGAGCTGGACAGTGACTAAGGATGATAGAAGAACTGATGCCTTTGAGTTGTAGTGCTGGAGAAGAGTCTTGAATATACCATACACTGCCAAGAAAACAAATAAGTCTGTCTTGGAGAAAGTGAAACCAAGTTTCTCCTTGGTGGCTAGGATTTTGGAGCTCAGTCTTACAGACTTTGGGCATGTGGCCAGGAGGCACCTATCCTTGGACATCATGCTCAGAAGAGTGGAGGAACAGCGCAGGAGAGGAAGACTTCAGATGAGATGGATTTATACAGTGACTAGGGCAATGGGGGTTAGGTATGTTGGAGTCAGTGAAACTGGCCGAGGACAGGGCAGGCTTCTGAGTTGTTGTACATAGAGTGGCTGTGAATCACAGGTGACTCAATGATACAACAATACCTTACATAATGTCACCTTAGTTGGGTTCTTACCCATCTATCCTTCAAATTTCTTATGTAAAGTAATACAAATATCAAATTCTTGAGAGATTTTTGGCAAAGTGAGCATTCTGGGAAAAGAATAACTGACCTTTTTCTTCACTTGTTTTTAGCACACTAGTTCTAGAAATTCTTGTCACTGCATTTTAACTGTTGAAAGACAGAGGAAAAAAACATCTGAAATCAATAAAAATTTTATCCCATTCTATGACATACTTTTTAAAAGATCATTAAATAAATTAAAGACATTTCACATACAGTATTTTTGTTTTTTCTTGACTTGTTGTTTTTATGTGCCATCAAGTTGACTACAACTCATAGCAATGCTATGAATAATAGATCTGAACCTTGGCCCATCCTGTGCCGACATCTCTGATGAACATGAGGCCATTTCAAGAATCATTGTGTTGATCTTTCTTGCTGTGAATCTTTATCTCCTTTGCTGACCTTCTACCTTTCCAAACATAATGTCTTTTATAAAGTACTGGCCTTTCCTTACAGCATAGTGGTTAAATATATCTATCACATCTTTTATCTGGTAATAACATAAAACTAGTTGCATTTTTAAAGAGAACCAAGTGCCTCCCTACCTCAATGTGACTATTTGATGTTTCTAAGTTTTAAGAACACTTGCCTTTGATGCAGTTTGGCATTATTTAGTCAAGGAATAAATAGTTACTCTACCTAATGTATGTTCCCCAACTTTTTTTATGGATCAGAAGACAGAATGCATCTCTTTAACATCTTGAAATACAGAACAAACAATTTTCCAAAGGTCAGATGTGTAAAGTATTTGCAGAAAAGTATATACCAAAGCACTGAAAATGTCCTTCGGGTAGTTCAGAAAATGTCATTAATTTATGAATATATTTTCTACAAATGATCTATTTATCATTTCTGTAAAAGAAGCATAAATTCCCTTATACATGTAAACACATGCATGAGTTGCTAGAGTATAAAAAAATAGAAGGAAAATTCTATTATTTAGATAATTATGTACATTTGTGTTTAAATATTTAGATTTGTTAGGAAAAGAAAAAAATATTTATTATTATTTCCTGAGCAGATAAAGTGCATTAATAGAAATATGAGGACATTTTATAGACCATTTTTATTACTATTATTATTAATTTTAGACAAAGGTAAAACATTCAAGCTAATTTTATACCTTAAGAAAATGGGATTAAATTTGTAACATTTTTTTCAAACTAGATTTTTGGAATATATATATACATATTATATATATATAGAGAGAGAGAGAGAGAGAGAGAACTTAACTCTCTCTCTATATATATACATAGTACTTAACTCTCTCTCTCTCTCTCTCTCTCTCTCTCTCTCTCTCTATATATATATATATATATAGTACTTAACTCTCTCCCTCACTATATATAGTACTTGACTGTATATAATAGTACTTGACTGTATATATAGTACATAACAATATGTATATTATATACACACACATTTATATAGATCTATATATACAGAGAGTACATATGCTACATAAACTATAGCAATAGATTCTCTAAATATGTATCATTTACTCTAGTGTATTTGTTTTTGTTATGTGCCACTGAGTTTCCTGTGTATTTAGTAGGACTCATTTTTACTTGCACAGTCACTTATCTTCTGTATGCCGTAAGTTTAATAAAGTAGATCAGTTAAAAATGATTCCTATAAGCTACACAGAACAGCACATTGTTTCAAAAAGAGATCTTAGGTCTGTGGGGACAGATAATATTTGTGTTGTGTTAGTGTTGTTTGCATTATCTTGAGAAATGAATAGAATATTTAATAAAGTAGGAAAGATTAGAGATACACCTCTTTTGAAATATTTTTCAACATATGTCTGCAATTCAGCTTACTGAAGAAATAACACACACAAAAGAACTATCAAAATAGCACACTGAATGTGTGTTGTTCTTGTGCAGTATTCTGGATGTGACAAAGAAGTATGGTCTCTGTTGTTTGTCTTCACACTAGTTTTGTCTTTCACATTAAGATTTATGTTTTAAGGATCTACTCTAAGATAAAAGAGGGCAGGGTGCAGCTCTTACTACAGGACATTCTACTATTTCTTTATCTCTTCCTTTTTCTTCCTCTCTATATCGGAGATATCTCTTTTTAAATCAGAAGTCTTGCTGAGCGAATTGAAGTATCAGGTGCTATTATTACAGGCATTTCTTTTTGTTCATGATGAAATTCAGTGATAACTCCTGTGAGAAATGATGGACAGTGAGAGAAACAGATTCATGTAGTTAAAGGGAAGCAAAAAATAGATAATAGAATTCACCAAGGGTTTGAAACACCCCTCCCTACTTTTTTCCTCCTCCCCTCCCAAAAACACCATTTGTAAACTGAACAATATAGCTGTTTTTCCTTTTTTGCCAAGGGACATTTTCTTTCTTATGCTAGTTATAAAATTGAATATTTATTATTGTAAAACAAACTTGCAAGCCAGAAGTTTAAGCATATGAACCTTGAGAAAGAATTTATATGGATAGAATACATTTTCAAATCACTGTCTTTGGTTTGCAGGTACCATTATAGTGGACAACATGCTGATCAAAGGGACTGCTGGAGGACCAAATCCCACCATTGAACTCTCTTTGAAGGACAATGTGGATTACTGGGTGTTGCTGGATCCTGTGAAACAAATGCTTTTCCTAAACAGCACTGGCAGAGTTCTGGATAGAGACGTTAGTGATTTTTTTTCTTTGTCCCTGTTAAAATCTTACCATACGTTAATTGTGTTCATGGGTTTGTTGATTGAGTATAAAATTGTCTTTACATAATTTCAGTTTCTTTACAGCTACACCAACAAAAGGGGAAAAAAATATCAATTGTTACGGGGTCGGGGAAAGGAATGAAACCTTTTATATACTTTCTAGCATCCTAGAAGCTATTAGATTGTTCAGCAAGGGAAAGGAAAAAGAAAACTGTACTTAGAATAAAAGACTAGTAACTTTCGGAGGAAAAATATACTTAGTCACAGTCATTATCCATTTGTTTCCAACAATAGCACAGTGTGAGAGGACCACTTCAGTGTTAACATCAAGTCCAAAAGTTTGTGGCTTACATTGCAGGTGGCTGGTTTCATAAAGCAAAAAGTGATTAGCATTGGTTCAGTGGCGGCATTGTGGCTATATAAAAGAAAAAGTGAATTACAAAACGTTCCTGGCAATGCCCCATTCCTATCCATGTCTTTATAGCCTTATTCCCCATTACTTGCATTCCAATTTCTCTTGAGTTCAGGAAACAAGTAATATTGTAAACAATAATTGCGGAAAACTCAGGAACATACATCCAAAAAACCTAGTTTCTAATGCTCAGTTTTTAAAATCCAAATATTATATATTTTAATTTGTGAACATGAGTCATTTCTACTTCATCACTGATGTTTAATGTTCTCTTTAAAATAAAGAGTATGGTAGATGATCACTGAGGCAATTTCATTTTTATATTTCAGAATCTCTAATGGTGAGGAGAGGGGAAAGAGGAACAATCTCCTCTCCAATTATTTAAAGCCTCTGAAAAACCCTGGATGGGCAGCTAGGAGTTTGTTTCAAATCTATGAAAATGACTTTGACTTTTTAATAATCATAATCTATCCACGTTGGTAGATATCTGAGGCGTATGTACAATCTATGACTATCCCTTTTCCCCCAAGTTTATTATTGTTACTACTTTCAGTAAATCGCACAGGAGGAGATTACTTGTGTTTCTCCCACCAAATGGCTGATGGATTAGAACGGTGTACCTTTAGGTTGACAAAGTGATTCTTTACCACTAAGCCACTAGACAGGATGTAAACTGGACTTAAAATAGCGCAGAAGAACAAGCCTGACTCTTTAAAAGAAATAATACATTTTATCGAGATGCAAGTTTTCCCTCACCGGCATTACTCATTAGGAATTTTATATCATAGGACTAATATGATATGTTGTTGTTGTTGTTATGTGCCATCGAGTCGTCTACGACTCATAGCGACCCTATGTACAACAGCCCTAAACTCCGCTCTGTCCTGTGCCAATCGCACTGTCTCCAACACTCCCATCCCAATTATCCCAGTCACTGAATCAATCCACCTCATAGAGGGCCTTCCTCTCCTGCACTGTCCCTCCACCCTCCCAAGCATGATGTCCCTCTCTAAAGACTGGTCTCTCCTCACAACAGGTCCAAAGTATGTTAGGCGGAGCCTCAAAATCCTTGCCTCTAAGGAGCCACCCGATTTAACCCTTTCCAGGACAAATCTGTTTGTTTTCCTAGCAGTCCATGGTATTCTCAATACTCTTCTCCAGCACCACAGCTCAAAGGCATCAATTCTTCTTCTATCTTCCTTGGTCATTGTCCAACTCTCTGATGCATAACAGGTGATTGCGAAGACCATGGCCTGTATCAGACACCTTAGTCTCCAAAGAGACACCATTGCTCTTCAGCACTTTGGAGAGGACCCTAACAGCAGACTTTCCCATTGAAATGTGCCTTTTAATTTCCTGGCTGCTGGTGCCAAGAGTGTTGAGTACGGAGCCAACCAAACTAAAGCTGTGTACAATCTCAATCTCTTCACCATCCATCCTGATGCTGCCAATTGGTCCAGTGGTGAGAATCTTTGTCTTCTTGACATTGAGCCTCAATCCATATTGTAGGCTGCAGTCCTTGACACTGTGCAGCAGGCGCTTCAGGTCCTCTTCAGTTTCTTTCAGTTTGTAGAAACTATAAATTCTTCCCCCTTGGTGTTGTTTCTTTTACTTTTAAAAAAAATGACTTAATAGCTAATATTTTGGGCATAATATTAAAAGAGACTAGTCTGTGGAGAAGGGAAGCTCTGGTGGCCTAGTGATAAGAAGCTGTGCTGCACTCCTGAAGGCATGCATATGAATCCACCAGCTGTTCTGCAGGAGAAGGATGGACAATGTCCTCCCATGCCAATTAACTGACTCTGAAAACCTGCTGAAGGATCAGCTAGGGCGCGTTACTCAACACCACTACAACAACATGAGAAGGATATCATGCTTGGAAAGATGGAGAGTCTGCAAGAGAGGAAGGTCCTTAACCAAATGTATTGACACAATGACTGCAGCAATAGGCTGAATTATGTAAGTCAGAAATGAGGATGGTAAAGTATAGGACAGGATTCAGATTTGTTATTCGTAAGGTTGCGATGAGATGTATTTGACTTGACAGCACCTAAAAACAACGGCTAATAACAATTATCCACTAGTTTTTAAGTAGATGCTTTCTTTTCAGGCCATTGTTTTTGTTGTGTTTGCTTGTTGTTTTGTTTTTTTTTAAATTTGATATTAAAAATATAATTCCTAGGTCAGAACTATGGGTAGAGATAAAAGTTGTCTATCTTCAACAACAATTTATATTTCATCTCCCAACTTGTAACATTATTTTAGTTTTAATTATGTCAAACATCACCTCTACTTTTACAATTTTTTCTTCTAAAAAGGTTATTGTTATTTTGTAATTCTGGTAGAGACAATATTCTTTTTTAATTTTGTTTAACACTTGCTTAAATGCAGTATTAGTAGGAGGCATCTTCCAAACTGAATTGACCCAAAACTAATTATTACAAAAATGTGCACAGGTATCATTTCAAGAAGTAACTAGACGGGTACTCGTAACGATTACTGAAGTAATCAAAATGGATATACTTTCTGTTCAAAATGTTCTTTTTTATAAGAAATACTATAGTCATGATAGGGAGCTCTGGTGGCCTAGTGGCAAGAAGATGCCCTACAGTCCCAAATACATGAGGTTTGAGGCCACCAAGTGCTCTGCAAGGATGAGTAATCCCGTCCCATGTGATTAACTGCCTCAAAACCTGCCAGAGGGTCAGCCCTGGGTGTGTTAGAACTCTACGGTACACAACAACAACAGTTATATTAAATGTGCAAAACAGTTTGTATGCAAAATGCTAGATAGCATCGACTGAACTGTAATTAACACATTGAAGTCTAAGACACCTAACATTCTTTTTATTATTATTATTAATTTTAATGAAAGTTCACAGAGACTTTGGATTTCCATTCATTCATTGTTTCACTTTTCTACCTGCCTCCCCCCCTCCCCCCCACCCAGTTCCCTCTTCTCTTTGAAAAGTAAAATTATTTCATTGTTATACAGTCCCTCCCCACAAGTCCACTCCACTGTGTAGCCTTCATTCTTGACTCTTGTCATGACAAGAATACCTAATCATATATCCCTTTTAAACAGTTCTCTCCCTCATCTGTTTCAATTCAGCATGCGTAATTGATTCTATCTTTCTCAGACACCTAACATTCTTAAATATTAAAATAATATTGAGGTGCACTGGAGAGACAAAAAAGGACAGCTCAATAGCAATATGCTTGCCGTTTTGTAATTTGACACTCACTTGTAGAAATACAGCAAGGTATTAAATAAGACATGAGCAGTCACTTCCCATGTGATTTCTTGCCTCAGAAATCTGCCGGAAAGTCATCAATGAGTCAGTTTCCACTTAAAGGTACACAACAACAACTGAGCATTAACAACAAATGCAATAAGCCTGTTAAGGAATAGTTAAGGAATATCATGTGGCAAAACTAATATCTTGTTCAAATAGTGTCACATTATAGAGTCTCAAAAATAATACTAAATAAATGCAGAGCTTGAACCTTCTGGAAGAAGAAGCATTTTTAGGTTTATTTGTTTGTTTGTTTGCTTTTTAATGGAATTTATGATTACCCTTAAGGAATCAGAGAAAAACAGAAGTCACACCTTCATCTTTTCCCTCAATTCCATTGTTACACGGACTATAGGTTTTAGAAAGATAAATATCTTCCAAGTTTTCTCACTCTCAAATTACAGAAGTAATTTTGTATTTGAAAATTAGAAACTATGACTAGTAATAAGATGAGGAAGATTTATTTGCCTTATATGTACTTTAAAGAGCAATCTCATTGTAGTAATTTATTCTAAGCTTAATGAGTTTTGCTTACGTATTTCACTACAAGAAAAAAAAAACCCATCTTGACATCAAGGCAGAACCGACTCATAGCTGACCCTTCATTACGTTTCCAAGGCTGTATATTGAAAACTGTAAGAAAAGCTACAAGGTTTTTCTGTGCTGGTGGATTCAAACCATCAAAGAACCATGTCTTTGGGGTTTTAGCACACCTCCTATGGACACCACTGGCAGAACTCCTGATAGAATAGAGTCTCAATTTAATCTCAAGATTAAATTTTTAGTTTTTTTCCTGTCATGGCATAGAACTTTTAGAATTTAATTTACCCTTGCGTGAATAATAGAATTTATTAACCCATTGTCATCTTTTTTATGTGAGGCATCGACTATACTATTAGAAGAATCATGTGGTAAATTATTCTTTAAATCCAAATTTAATCACAATTAGAAGTCATAGATTTAAATTATGAAATAAGCTCCTAGTAAGTGTAGGAGAAAATAAAAGCATATATAAAGTAAGCTTGGCATCTGGAGAAAATGACTTCTAATTTATCTCTCACCATATCTTATTTCATGTGTATATACATGTTTTTGTTGTTAAGTGTCATCGAGTCGACTCTGAGTTGTAGTGACACTATGATCAGTGAATCTGACCTCTGTCGTATCCTGTGCCACCCTCATCATCTTCGACATTCTCGAGCCACCATCACAGTCACTGTGTCAATCCATCTCATCTGCCCCTATTTCCTGACCCCATACCTA